CCAGCGTCCATCACCAAGATGGCAGCCGGCAGGAGTCAATAAGACGACCGCGCATGCGCGATAACGTCACGGCGGGGTGTCACCTGGTCTCCGCTCTGGGTGACACCCAGTCTTGGGGTGCCACTGGTTGTAGCCATGATGAAGGGGGTGGTATCTGAACACAAGAAACATTGGAGAGAGAAAAAAAAATGGAAATCTCCCTAAAATTAGGACAAATCTCAAATTTGGCAGTTGCCCCCATTGCAGGATTATTAGTCAATGTATTATTATACAACACCGACAATTTACACAGCGCTTTACAAGGAGCTTGCTGTCTAAGGTCCCTATCTCACATACATACATACAGGACCAACTTAGACAGGAGCCAATTAAACTTCCAGCGTGTCTTTGGAGTGTGGTAGGAAACCAGAGTACCCAAAGGGAACCTACACAAGCACAGGGAGAACATGCAAACTTCGTGACCTGGCCGGGAATCGGACCCCCTGTGCCGCAAAGCAGAAGTTCTACCCACTAAGCCTCCCCTCTACTCATGGTCCAATCACAGCCATAATATTGGTAAAGTATATCCAAACCCAAGAACAAAATTATAATATGTTCCACCTGACCAGTCGGACTAGGCGGCTGCATTCGTTTTCCTTTAGTTTTATGTTCCTGCCATTGACACACTTCCTGTCCTAGGGTGACAACTAGGGCTGCACAGAGACTGGTACTTCCGCTAGCATGGAGCTGGCTTCCCGGGCCATCAGGAAGCTGGGCGGCATGTCATTACTTGACGCCTGGCTTCTTGATTGCCCGGGAAGCCGGCTCTATGCTCTTTGGCCAGCTCGATGCTGACTGGCCCGGAAGCTGGCTTCCCAGCCAATCAGTAAGGAAACGGCTTTCTGGCCAATCAGGAAGCCTGGAGGCGGGTCATTACCCACCGCCCAGCTTCTTGATTGGCCGGGAAGCCAGCTCCATGCTGTTTGGATGGATTGATGCTGAATGGCTTGGAAACTGGCTTCACACGGCCAATCATCATGAAGCCGGCCAAACACCATGGAGCCGGCTTCCGGGCCAGTAGAAAGACGGGCGACAAGTCATTACATGCTGCCCAGCTTCCTGATTGGGCGGGAAGCCAACTCCATGTTCCCTCGCGGCACTTGCCCCAATGCTCGGTATCAACACCAATACCAATTATAGTATAGGTATCAGTGCATCCCTAGTGACAACTAGTGTTGCCACCTGTCCAGGATTCACCCGGACAGTCAGGGTTTTGAATGCTGTGTCCGGGTTTCATGGCAGCTGAGACCTGGACACATGATGTCAGACAGACAGGGGCAACCAAAATTAAGATAGGGGCTATCGGCCCCCCAGTAAAAATAGTCTCAACTTTCATATTTACACATGAATGGGTGACATTATTTACATACGAATAAGCCGCGGCTCATTCTCCCCAAAAAATTTCCGTGCGTCGCTAGAGTGTTCGGGTTTCGCTGGAAGAAAAGGTGGCAACCCTAGTGACAACGCTTACTTACTGTACCATAGCAGAGGACTACAGAAAGCCCCTCTCTCTTTTTCCCCATAACAGGGGGGAGGGGGGGGGATTTGGACTTGTTATTTTTTTAAAGGAGAACTATGAGGTGAGTGCTTTTCAGTCACCTCATAGTTCTAGCCGACCTGTGACAATGAGACTGTCACAGGTCGGCTCAGTAGATCGGGAGGTGAGCGAACACATACCGGCGTTCGCTCACCTCTCGATCCTATCACGGCTCTCTGCCGTCACAGGGGAGGGGCTGGATTCGGACGGAGGAGGGGCGGGTACAGCTGGGTCTGCCTCTAGATAGGCAGAGCCAGCTGTCACTCACGCAGCTGGGCGGATCTCGACATCGATGTCGTGATATGCTCCGGCTGCGGCGTCTCAGTATACCGCGAGCTGTAGCTCGCGGTATACTGAGCTTAGGGTAACGGCAGGACGCTAGTTTGTGTCCTCCCGTTACCCTAAGGAGAACATAGTTCTCCTTTACAGGCCACTGATATAGCTTTAAACAATGTAACTGAAAGAAAAGCATTCACTTCTTTTCTAGGGTGCCCACCCTTACTCGCCCCTCTGGATCAGGACAACAGAAACTGGACAGGAGTACGGAACCCCGCCTCTCTCCTACTCTCTACAACATAGAGGGGTGTGGCTCCGTAGTCGACAAAGATAGCTAAGAACAATGTAACTGATATCAGTGCAGCACCAGCAGAGAGCACAGGAAGTTATTAGATCGCTGGATTCCTGGCAGGATCAACAGGGATTTTTTGCACTTATAGAACAGATGATCTATTTAACAGACCAGAATGAAGCAAATAGGAGGAGTCCATTATTGGGGGTCACATTTAAGGGGTACTGGTCCTAGGACTTATCACTGATGAAGAAGGACTCTCCATGCTGTATATACGCCGCGTACGGCTGATGTGTACACAGATTAATCTCGCCTCGGGAAGCTGGATATAATGTGTCACATAGAAAGGTGATGGGAAACGGTGAGGCTTCTCCGGTATAAAGTACATTTAGAGAAAACAGAACAGCAAATGCCTGACATAGTTGTCTGCTAGGACCAAACAAACACGCCTGCCCGCCCCTCGTCATGACATCACCTATTTTGACAGCGTTTGACAGAGGAATGTACCAAAAGGACGGAGGCAAAATACATATGTGGAAAAAAAAATATTGTATCCATGTAGAATATCTGAATCCTGAGATCTTTTTAGTTAAAGTTTAATATTTGCTCTGTTTTCTTTTGCTGCTTTGCTGTCCCATATTTCCAGGACTGTGCTTCGTGCGGGATCTCCTTCTAGTGGTTATTTATATGTCTTACAACGTTATTCCAAAGCCTTTGGAGTGGCTCTTGGCACCGGCAGTATCTCTGAGAAAACTACCGTGGAGGTCCTTTCCTTCATCCTAGCACCTAGGTCTCTGAACTCCTGTTTAAGGACACTCCAATTTCCTCCTATTTTGTCATTGGTGCCGATGTGCACCATGACAACGGGGTCGTGCCCAACCCCATCTTACGGGTTTGTGTCCTCCCGTTACCCTAAGGAGAACTATGGGGAAAAGCACTGACCCCATAATTCTCCTTTAAAGTCCATATCCATCTTTGTAAGTGATTTGTATGTATTGTGGTCATGTAATGGTGGCGGGATGATGTATATGTGTATGTGGGCACCTGATTAAATCTTTCTAAACCGGTGGGAGGTTCCTTTACTATGATCACCTGATCAGTCTCAGTGTTGTATCAGGACTATTGCACCCTGGAGTGACTTGCAGACAAGCAGAAGCTCATGCAGGTTTCTCATGCTAGATCACATTCGCAGCACAGGAAGGCGTCATTCACACGAAAAATGGCCGGGACGTACAGCTCCGTGCTGCGTGCACGGCTGTATCGGGCAGCTCCCGGGAAAGACAGGTGCTGTGTGTGATTAATACGCAGCCCCTGTCCTTCTCCATGGGACTACGCGGACGTGCGCCACACTACGCTCACCCGCCCTGCACGTCCGTACAGGTGCAGGTGAGCGTACCCATACGCTGACGGGATGGTTCCTGTCTGCGTCCGAGTCGGGACACCCGCACCCGTACGGACCTGCACTTGGGCCCAGCGTAGATGGGCGTACGGCCACGTAGTCCCATATAGAAGGGAAGGGCTGCGTAATAATACCCGGGAGCGGCCCTATACGGCCCTGCGCGCAGCACGGTTTTTCGTGTGAATGAGGCCTAATAATCAGGGCCAGATTTTCCACAAGGCCACCGAGGCCTAGCCTCGGGCTGCAGGGAGTGGAGGAGCAGCAGAGGTGTGGAATTCTTTTCGGCCGGTGCCTGGGACATGCAGTTCCGGGCGCTGGGCGGGTAGTTGTTTTCTACATTTAGCCCGGCTTCGGGCAAGCAGAGATAAATGTAGAGCGGGGATGCCGGCGCTCGTTATGTACAAGTGATCCCGGCGATGGCGATGCCGCCGAGATCACTTGTATGCAGCCTGCTCGTCCGTCCTCCCCCACTGCCCCCCCCCCCTCCATGGTCTGCC